GGCCCTACCCAGCAGGGATGTCGTGAAAATAAATCAGGATCTAACCCTTGTCGAAAGTGTGTTATGCTGCCGACGGCGATTATTTCGTGCCCAGGAGGAGGGCGCGACGCAACAACGCACACGGGGATGTGCGGTCATGCAGGAACAGGGATCCCCTGGCCTTCCCCATGGCCCATGTGCCACAGCACCAATCCACAGCCCTACCCATGTGACTCCGCCTAGCCACAAACCCCCCTGCCCCGTATTGGGAAAGTCTTCTGCCCGCCAAACCAACCCGATTGTCGGCTTAACAATTCCATTTTTGTCGCCAACCGAGTTGGAGGTTGGGGGTTTGTTCGTGCCCTGTTTTATGACCTTCCGGCTCACCGCCGCAAAGCCGATTCCCTTCTGTCCTTCGGGGAGGGACGCGGCGGCAAAGCAAATTTGCATTCCCCACCCCCCGATATCGTTCGTCCGTACAATCTTCATACCTATGAGCCAGTTAGGGATTGGTCATCACGCGACGGTCGGCTGTGTGTTTGTGTGCTGCTGTGCCGGTCGTTAAGTGTGAAAAGCACCTCCCCCCCCCGCCCCCCCATCCGTTCAGAAACGTTGTGGCGTGGGAAGGGCAGGATGACCCCACCCCTTTCTAAGATGGAGACCCCCCCTCCCAATCCATGTTCCTCCCAAATCCACCCGTTTTGACGGTGTCTCGTCTCAAACGGCGTCTCTCCCGCCGAGCGGCCTCGGTCCCCGATCGATACGCCCAGCTCTTGTTCCTACGATGGTCAGCCGGTTGTGTTGTCCCGTCACCCCAAGCCAGGTGCCCGGAACTATATTTCCAACCCCGCTTCGGACATACAAGTTGGTCCTTACCTTACGACCGCAACCGAGTCCCAATTTTAGCCGACGGAGTCAGAAACGGGTTAGGGTTTGACTTCAGGGGACAACCTCTCCAGCCATGTGGACGTCCATCGGCGCGGTTGTTAAAAATTAAGTCGCCCGGTTGTTACAGCGAATCGGGATTCGCCGGTCAGAAGGAGGGGAGTGTGGGACCCCCCAACCACCGTCGTAAATGTGAGTCAGGGGGGTTAAAGGTTCCCTTTAATTGCAAGAATGCCGTAAGGGTCAGGAGGGCGAATGACAAATCCTTTTTTTTTCCTCTGGCGCTGCCGTAACTGTCGTCCTTAAACAAAACTGTCATAGATCAAGGACTTCCTCTCGATTGGCGCGGGGGGCTTGGCTGAAGGGGTCCCTTTAGCGGAGGGGCCATTAACCCCTGAGTGCGATGGGTGACGGAGCTCCGTGTCGACCGATCGGTTGTGGTGTCCTTTCCCGTCGCGACTCCCCCCTCCATGACATTGCGGGCAGAACGGGTTGCCCTTCCTGGATGCTTCGTCCTCCCCCCCTCTTCTCCCCCCCCAAGAAATATACACAGGTCGCCCTTGACTTACGACAGTTCATTCAAACTTACGACAGTGCCCTCCCCACTTGACGAACGACCGTCGCAGGGCCACACCAAGAAGCTGCCGTGGCTCCTTGCAGGCTGAAAGGCTAGCTCTCCAGCTAGGGATGAAGGATAGAGACCCCCGTACGATGGGCGTGGTCAAGCCAGGCTAGCTCTCCAGCTAGGGATGAAGGATAGAGACCCCCGTATGATGGGCGTGGTCAAGCCAGGCTAGCTCTCCAGCTAGGGATGAAGGA